CTCTCTACTCAGCAGGGAGCCTGCTTACCACCCCCTCTCTGCCTGCCTCTCTGCCTACTTGTGATCTCTCTCTCTCTGTCAAATAAATAAATAAAATTATTTAAAAAAGAAAGAAAGAAATACCCTTTAACACTTAAGGGATATTGTTTGATAATCAATGAATAAGAGGTAGACAGGAGAACAAAGGCAGAAAGACTTGAGGATGAAAAGTGGTCCAAAGAAAGTGAGACGGAACAGATACAAGAAAAATAATGAAAGGCCTCAGAGCCAGAAAATAAACTGATCGTCACCTAAGCAGATGGGTATGTGCACTCCTGCTCCCTGTGCTAAAATCTAATGGTAAATGTCCATACTGGTCCCGCTTAGGATGGCTCTTCTTGACAGGTTTGTTTTTTAAACCACCCATGCTCCTGTGAGCTCAGGTGGGTGGAATGGAGCTCTACCACCCTGTCACTATTCAGAAGCCTAATAAAGAACCTACAATTATTTTCTTAAGTGAAATTTTTTCTAAGTTTTTATTTATTTATTTGAGAGTGCGTGCTCACGTGCGAGAGAGCATGAATGACTGGAGGGACAAAGGAAGAAGCAGACTGCCTGCTGACCAGGGAGCCCTATGGGGAGGGCTCGATCCCAGGACCCTAGGATCATGACCTGAGCCCAAGGCACTCAATCAACTGAGCCACCCTGGCGCCCAGAACTTATAATCTAAGTAGCAAAAACAGGGCCCAGCCTCATTCCATTCTTTTATCTGTCTCCACAGATCCATATTTCTGATTCATAAGGTCCTCAGAGAACCTATTTTTGACACACCAGGTACATTCAAGCTACTTGACATAGTATCTCATACTTCGTGCGTACATCTCAATTCAGACCTATCTTGATCACACGAATTTAGAGAGTTGAAATAATGTGGCTCTTCCTCCTCCTCTAATTTACTATCTTTCAACCATTATAGCATTCTTCCTAAGTGAAAGCAGGGAAGGGACAAGGAGTTTGAAATCCATTGTGTTCCTCCAGCGGCTGGTGTTGGACTGTTCACATAAAGGGATAACCTGGATTCAAGGAGTCTCTGAGAACGCTTTGGACTCGGGTTCTTCCAGTAAGCCTTAAGTGCAGACTAGAGACATCCCTAACCCTAACCCTAACCCTAACCCTAACCCTAACCGGATGAGGGCGCTCATGCACTTAGGACTACCGTGTGAGAGAAACAAGTCTACTTTCACCACTGAGAAATGATTATTATGCATAAGGCTGTGGTCAAGAATTTTCCTCTTGTAAAACTGCAGTGACAGAATGGTGGGGTGGGCAGGGTGGGTGAAGGAAAGGGACCAGAAAAAGAAGAGCACCTGAGAATCAAAGACAGCTTACAGAAGCATCAGCAGCCAGAAAGAACACGTTCCCGGGGTTCAGTGTCATCTCTAGGCCAATAAGCTTAAGACAAGAAATATCCCTTACACTGAAAATCAGAAGGTAAGAAATTGTGTAGATGCCTAGTTTTAGACTGCTGGTGTCAAGGGGAGGATCACAACACTCTTGGTATGACTATACTATTAAGCCAGATGGAAAGAAATTATACCCATGTTTATAATAGGTGAATGGGTCAAGTTCTAAGGGTAAAACTATCTTACTCTCTGTTACTGATCATGCTTTTGGCAACTGAATTTAAAAAGATCTACTGGAGATGAGAGAAGAGCTTCTCCCTCCCTTGCCCTAGGCACAGATTCCTGGCAGGGACAGAGAAGAACAATACCAGAAAGGTAGCTTCAAGTTTGGAGGACAACTTTGGGCTTCGGGGAAAGTGAGTCTTCACCACAAAGGGCCTTAGTAGAGATGCCCATGCAGAACAAAGGTAGGAGAAGTAATGAACAAATAAAACTTCTGGAGCTTGAAGCAAGGCAAGGAAGGATAAAAGGGAAGCCAGGTTAGGACCACAGAACAGAATCGGTTGCTCACAGGTGGGCAGTCTCATTTCCCCACAAGCTCTGCAGAAAGTCCACCTTTGTGAGGTCACTACGGAGCTCTGACTGACCCAGTCCTAGACAGAGGAACAGAGGGACACCATCATCACACCACCAGCAGCGCACCAGGACTCAGTCACATTTAACATAAAAGGTTGGTCTCCTCCTCAGAAGTCCTACCTACAGACACAAGGTTGAAAATACATGACCTTATTATGTCTGAAAAACAAAAATGTGTAGGAAAAGAGGACATTAGGAATCAGGAGAAACAGTCGGTTAAATAGAAAAATCCAGTATTTGAAAAAGACATGGATTTGAATTCCTGTGTGATTTTGGGGGGAAGTTCATTTCTCCTAGTCGTACAGTTTGTCCCCCCAAATGGGGAGAATGCTACCTATTGTAATTTATATGCCCTGTAGGGGTCACCTGCCCTTGTCACTTTCATAAGATTGCTTCGAAGCCCCAATTCCATGGCCTGGGGAAACACTGTTTTCTGGACATGTGCACAAATTCTTAAGAATTTACTCTCTTCATGAGCTCTTCAGACTCTGGTCTTCTATGCTCTCAGGTCCTTTCTCTGCTCTGCCTGAAGTAATTCCAGACCCAAAACTCTTGTCTCTTTACCGGTTTCCCCAAATAGAGCTCTCAAACCAAGGAATCCAGAATTTTATTGACACTGAATACTGGCAGTTATGAGCTGGGAACACATTGCTGAACAGTGTCCTTATATACATTCATTCACTTCCTCTCTACCTTTTCTACTCACCCCTTTCTTTCCTGAACTAGCTCCAGTTTTTCTACTTCTATGATGTTAATAGAGTCCCTTTTCTCTGAACCCTAACTGGCCAACCACCAAGCCCAGAGACAGAGGCTTAGCCTCTACCCTAAGCAGTTACCAAAATACTTTTCCAATTAAAAAAAAAAAAAGACTTTTCTCAGAAAATTCTAGCACCAACTGTTAAAGTTCTACCATCTTCTCCGCTTGCTCACATGACTGCAAGAGTGCTATGTGGGGTAACAGAGACAAAGAATATAATAACTCAGCATATGCTATTACATACAGAATATGCTGGCACAATGACTTTAACATAGCAGACCCTAGTGGCTGCCTTTACATTCTTTATCATGCCAGATTTAGTCCCTAAAGAGACCACGCCTTTACCAGCCAGAAAGACTAGTCACTTCCAAAGGGAAGACCCCTGCCTTTGGCCGAGGTAATCGACAACACACAATCGAAAGCTAAGAAGGCCTCCATCTTTCTTCAAATACATGATAATCATGATAGACAACAGCTGGCTGACTTCTGACAGTAATGACTGTGCATTCTTCCAAACACAGTCGCAATATGCAGCCAAGCAGAAAAAGCACAGGTATGAATGCTGTGAATGCTCCCTTCTATCACCCCCATATATGAAAAAGAGAAATTCTGAAGTACTGTTTCCACCAATCCTCCTCAAAAGCTGTCACTTTAATTTTAGAGCCCATTCATCTACTGAGCTGTAGTTTTGTTTTGTGTTAAACTCAAGAGCTTTTCTCTTATATGGCAGCTTTTAATGGGGCAAAAAGCTCTGTCCCCACCTCAAAACACAAAACACATACAGAATATCACAGTAACGAAGCTTGTCTTCCTTCAGAAATTCTCAGGGGCTGGCTTGCGGTGTCCCTGCCAAGAGGATGGTCCAGGAGACTGTATGCTCTGGGGCTCAGCTGGTCACGACTACCTTTGGGCAACAGCACAGCAAGCCGAGGCATCTTGCTAGGATTCTTGGAGTCTCAAGAAGTAACCTACACCTATGCTACGCACTGCAGATATTAAACTAGAAATTGTAGATTTTCCTAGACATTTGGGAGTCATTTCCCCTGCTAAAATGTCAAGAAGCTGGGAGAGAGGTTCTGTGCACACGTTCACATAAACACAGAGAAGGCAGCTCAGACAGGCCTGACCCTGGGTGACAATAATGAACACAATGTTCTCGTATGCACAAACCCGCAGGATTAGAACTGCCAGCCACCACTCCTTAAAGAGTAAATAAACACAGGAACGAACAGTCAAGTGAATGAATGTTGGTCCCAGACCCTCTGTCCTTCTAATATTAGCCCAAGTCTAAATGCAATTCCAGGTTATAATTCATAAAGAGAAAGTGTGAGGATGTAGTCAATTTCAAAAAGATCCAATCTAGTTGCAGCAGCAGAGTGTTCTGGGACTTGTGTAAAGAGGCTAACCCTTAGGCCTAGAACAAGAATTATGGGTCACTGAAAAGAGGAAGATATGACACAAAAATGTTTTATTCCAGGGGCACCTGGGGTGGCTCAGTCATTTAACCATCAGAATCTGGATTTCAGCTTAGGTCATGACCTCGGGTTGTGGGTTCAAGCCCCGCACTGGGCTCTGTGCTCAGCTCACGGTCCGTTTGTCTCTCTCCTTCCGCTCTTCCCCACCCCCCCGCTTTCACTGGCTCTCTCTTTCTCAAATAAATAAATAAATACAAAATATTTTTTTAAAAAATGTTTTATTCTGGGGCACCTGGGTGGCTCAGTGGGATAAAGCCTCTGCCTTCAGCTCAGGTCATGATCCCAGGGTCCTGGGATCGAGCCCCACATCGGGCTCTCTGCTTAGTGCGGAGCCTGCTTCCTCCTCTCTCTATGCCTGCCTCTCTGCCTACTTGTGATCTCTGTCTGTCAAATAAATAAATAAAAATCTTTAAAAAAAAAAGTTTTATTCCAAGCTCATTCACAAGACCCCAGAGAACTTCAATGAAGTGGAACCAAAAGCTCTAAGGTTCTGGCCTACTGTTTTCTTAATAAAAAGCCCTACAGATTAGCTCTTTTCCTGCTTGGGCAGACCTGTGCTGAGTTCACCCTGTGCTCAGAATGTTGCTCTGATGATCTCACCAGCGACAATCACAAAGGCCCACCAGGAAAGAAACCCGCTATATAAGGTTATCAACAAAAGGCTACATACGCTTCTTAATCTAGATTATAAATCTATCGCCCTAATTATATATCTTCCCTTAAATGCAGAGCCAACAGCACAGCACTCACCTTCCTCAAAGCTGGCTTTCTTCTGCCTCACTAGAACACAGAAGTTTTCAGCAGGATTCACACTTCCAACCTAGAACACATGCACGGACAATAAACCCACAGATCACTTCTCTCTCTGGCAGCACCCCAGGCAATGTGAGACGGCTTAATGTAGTAAGTTTGCTCTTATAAAATAAAACCAAAGACAAAGAGAAGGTCCTTTCTATTCATTTCCCTTTCTGGAGTTGTGTTCCAAGCAAGCAGATTCCTGTGGCCAGAGAGCTGCCATCTGTACTTCCACTTACCTCTCTTTCTGGAAGCTGACCTCTTTCCAGAGAGATCAGATGTATTACAACCCAAGTCACCAGTCAGCTCGGCCGGAAGGCTTTATGGGACACAACGCTGGTACATCTAGACACCCAACCAATTAGGAAGGGGAGGATTCTAGCGTGTGGGGTCTGTCCAGAATATACTTGCCTCACGGAAGATGACACGAGGAATAACTGCCTGATACTTGGTTTGCTGAAATGCCCTTTTGTGGGGACTGCTGAGGTCTCTTTGGCATTGAAGTTCTGGTAGAACATGCAAACATGCCCAAGCTGCCCATGTTCCCCCAGAATAAAAGCAGATATTGTGTAAAGATTTACCATAGTGCGAGGGGGGAAATTTTCAAAGATGAAACTATGCCACACTATATAGCACTTCCTGATCCTGGTCTTTAATCTTCCAGTCCCAACCTAGAGGCACCTGGATGGCTCAGTCAGTTAAGCAACCGACTCTTGATTTTGGCTCAGGTCATGTTCTCTGGGTTGTGAGATCGGGCCCTACATGAGGCTCCACACTGGGCGTGGAACCTGCTTAAGATTCTCTCTTTCCCTGGGTGCCTGAGTGGCTCAGTCATTAAGTATCTGCCTTCAGCTCAGGTCATGATCTCAGGGTCCTGGGAATGAGCCCCACATGAGTCTCCCTGCTCTGTGGGAAGCCTGCTTCTCCCTCTCCCATTACCCATGCTTGTGTTCCTTCTCTTGCTGTGTCTCTGTCAAATAAATAAAATCTTAAAAAAAAAAAAAAAAGATTCTCATCCTCACACCCTTCCTATCCTACCCTCTCCTTAAAAAAAAAAAAAAATCAACATGGGCGCCTGGGTGGCTCAGTGGGTTAAAGCCTCTGACTCTGGCTCAGGTCATGATCGCAGGGTCCTGGGATCGAGTCCTGCATTGGGCTCTCTGCTCGGCAGGGAACCTGCTTCTTCCTCTCTCCCCCTGCCTGCCTCTCTGCCTACCTGTGATCTCTGTCAAATAAATAAATAAATTCTTAAAACAAAAACAAAAACTTCCAGTCCCAACCTAACAGGCCCAAAGTATTACTCAGTTCACAGGGGAGAAGACGACAGGCTTCTATTATCCCTGGTAAACTTCGGTACAAAATGTACTAAAGTTTCCAGGTGGCTCTGGCATAGCAGTCAGAAAAGCTCTCAGAACAGCCAAGGTCAACTAAACAACTAACAACTAAACAGAACAACTAAACAGAACAGGTCAACAGAACAGGTCAACAGAACAACTAAAGGTTTTTTCCTTTACTGTAAAACACTGAAAAATCTACATCATTTTAAGATGTCCAGTTTTCCTGGGAGCCTTTCTTTTTAGGGTGGGAAAAAAGGCATGCCCTACTGCTAACTATCCTTCCTAGTGCATCTGGCTAGTAAGGGACAATTTTTAAGATTCACTGATTCAAAATGATGCCACTTAACAGAAGGCAATATATTCAAGTTCCAAAACCCTCTCACATTAAATAAAGTGTCAAAGGATTCCTGGTTTGGGAAAATCTTAAACTTGTGAAGCCTGTTCTGAAGTTATACATCAGAAAAGAAATAGAAGAGTCATGCTCTTAAATTTTACATATTCGGAGACTAAGACTCCTCTCATCAACCTCCACTTCTCCTATCATTTTAACTAAACAGAAAGCTGCAAAGTCAAGCCAACCAAAAATTCTCTCCCGGAAGTGCTACTACTGAGCTCTTCCAGGCGCTGCACGCTACACGTGCTCTGCGAACGTGCGTCATGGAGCTACTTCTGTAATTCATTCCCTGACAATAAAGGAAGCAGTGTGGGAAGGAGGTACACGGTTCATATATTAGAGACACCTGAGAAAGTAAATTACTAAAGGACGAACAAAAATTGCTGCAGTCCTCCTCCCTCCCCCAAGTCCCGACCTTCCAGGAAGGCGGGAGCGCCCTGGGGAAGTTCTGCTTACACTGGTGACGCTGCCTTCAGCCAGGCTGGAGACGCTAAAGCCAGCCGCCCCTTCCTCAGTCTTCAGTTTTTTAGAAGTGGGTCCCTCTTCATGGCTGGAAAAGAAATAAATGGATTTTTTTCTCTTAAAACAGACTAAATAATACTAAAACCAGACCTGGTTGACCTGTGAAATATACATTTATTTTTCAAGGGTCAAAAATCAACAGCCCCGCTTAGTCCTTGACAAGGAGCCTGCCCCCCACCCACAGGCCCAGAATTTCTGAAGGCCTGCGGGGAGCAGCCCTGGCTCTGCATCACAGAGCCAGAAAAGTCATAATCAGTAGCCGCAGCACAGAGCCCCCTCCAAAGAGGAAGCTACAAGCAAAAGGAAAGGAAACCCGGCATTTCAGGAAGAGACCCATTTGCCCTTCAGATACCTTTTGCTAGCTTCTGTCTCAGAATCGATAGCTATTAGCTTTCCATGGACATGGATGACCTTTGGGTCTAATACCCCATCTTCTCCACCATGTATGCTACAGCTTTATAAGCTTCTACTCACAGCTGTCAAAACTTACTAGACCATCCCTAATTAAATATGCAAGACATTGTTCTTAGAGAAGTCCTTAAACTATAAAAAACTACTTTCAAAAAAAGCCTTTTAATTTGTTCTTTTATAAACCTAATTCTGTTTTGGGCAATATGTTAACAGTCCAACAGCATCTGTGTAGTAAGGGAAAGATGATTCTAAGGAACCGTATCAAACATCTTGTCTCAAGTAACATGCTGGCTTCTACAGCCTGCCTTAAAGTCAAGAGGAGGACAAATTCATTGCAAAGGAGAAGAAAATCAAATCCAAAGACTCTGCCTATAATCTCCCTTAAGCTGCTAAACATAGAGACAGGAGAATTTTTCTCCCAGACAAATAATCAATCTGGGGCAAAAGCAGCTGTCGAGAAATGGCTGAATGAGAAGGAAAGTTAGCAACCAAGATCTAGTATCTCTAAACATGGTGTGTTTCTGTTCAAAAGCCCAACCTTCAGAGAATGAGCCTTGAAGAGGTTATCCTAAAAACAAAGAAAAATGAGGCACAAGCTGGCTTATTCAATATTTCAATAAAGAATCTCTTAGTGTGAGATAAAAGAACTGAAGTAATTATTATAGCCTCACAAACATGAATTCAAACTTTTATTACTTGACATCTTTCCATTCACCACTTGCCTTTTTCCCTTTGAAAAGTAAAGACAGAAAGATAGAGACCAGGAAACATGAAAAGGGGTGAGTGATTCAGAATAAGAAATAACCACACAAAGCCTGGATGGCAAAAATGGGAGGAAAAATGGCCAAGCGCAAGGAAGCATGAAATTCCGTCAGAACTGGAGTCCTTTTAAAAAAGTCACGGCCATCTCAGTGAACCTTTGCCAGTTCTTCCCAAGAGACAGACAATGCAATACTCCTGGATTCAAGTCTCACGTTTTCCACTAACCCTGGACCCTTTATGCTGCCCTAAAGGTATTGATTGGTATTTTAATTTTTGTATATCTAGAATATCTAGTCTAGTAAGTGACTCCCCTCGCTGGTCTTCAGTTTGCTCCTCAGAAAAACACTATGATGAAAAGTACCATGAGCATATCACTACTCATCAACAGTTTCCAAAAATAAAAATCACCTCATACAGTGTGTTAAGAAGCATTAAACATATAAAAGCGCTACGCTAAGTTCTGTGAGAACACAAGGTTGAATTGCATGAAGAATTTCTTACACCTTCCAAAATATGGTTCTAGTGATGGAAGGACAAAGAGACCTATATACCAATCCTCCAGGACTGGGTAGGTAAAGGCAGTAAGCAGAAAGTAGTGAAAATTTGAATATGGTTAATGTTCTCAAGACTGAACCATTTAACAGCATTATTAGGAATTTAACATATATTAAATGAATAATGTCTCTCTCTAGTGGGAAAGGGCAATGACTCTCATCCCAAAATTATCTAAAGAAGCCGAGCTCCAAGAAGATAGAAATTATCCACGCAAGACCCTAGCAGACATACAAAAGTCAACAGCTGCTGCAACTGGATGTCAGAACCATGGACAATTTACTATTCTTTCTCATTTTATTATTGTCTTTTATAAGTATGTATACATTCTGTAATTCATCTATTGGCCAGACATTTACCTAATAGTTACTATGTGCTGGCCACTATACTAGGCTCCAGATTGTAAATGTGCAAAACGTAATGCCCAACCAACACTTTCAGGAAATTCAGCCAAATAAAAGAGATAAAGACACAAACACGCGATTAACAAACTACTGTGGTAAGCAGCAAGTCCCTCTAAGAGGATGGCTAGTTGCTGTACTGGGCTGGGGGACATGAGAGGCAGGCTGGGAAGCAGTGAGAAAGGAGGATGGGAAATAACAGCAGTCCCCCCTTATCCATGGTCTTGCTCTACCGTTTCGGTTACCCGCGGTCAACTACAGTCTGAAAGCAGATGATCCTCCTTATGACTTATGGTCCAAAGGTCAACAGTAGCCTCACGCTACATCACAATGCCTACATCATTCACCTCACTTCGTCTCATGCAGGCATTTTATCATCTCACAGCATCACAGGAAAGAGGAGTCGAGAGGGACCACATTCACAGAACCTTTATTACAGTATATTATTATAACTGTTTTCTTTGATTATGATTGCTGTTGATCTCTTGCTGTGCCTAAGTTATAACTTAAACTTTATTGTAATTATGTAATACGTATATAGGAAGAAAACTTAGCAAGGATAGGGTTCAGTACTATACATGGTTTCAGGCATCTGCTGAGGGTCTTGTAACATATCCCCCCCGTGGATAAGGGGGGACTGCTGTATCTAAATCATGGACACAGAAACTGCAAGGAAAGAAAGTGGATCTCTAGGGAGCTAGACTATGAATAAGTACTTCTTTTCTTGCCGCTTACTAGGTTTTCTCATTTGTGTAACGGAGTTTGAGCTTAAGGCAATGCTAATGGAAAGCCACTAAAGCAAAGGTTTTTAATCAGGGGTCCAAGGATAGTGACAAGGAATACGTGAATCACCTGAAATTATATGCAAAATTTAGTATATTAGGTCATTTTCCTGGGAGAGAGGGTTCACAGTTGTTTGTTTTTTATTAACATAAAATGTATTATTTGTTTCAGGGGTACAGGTCTGTAATTCATCAGTCTTACATAATACACCGCATTCGCCACAACACATACCCTCCCCAATGTCCATCACCCAGCTGCCCCACCCCTCCCACCACCCCCTCCACTCCAGCAGAGGGTTCACAGTTTTTATCAGATAATTGAAAGGGTCCATCATATGCACACACATACACACAAAGATTTAAGAATCACTGTGTTGATGTGATCAGATTTGTTAAAAAAAAAAAAAAAAAATCACTCAGGTCACACGATGGATTGGAAATAGGTAAGACCTGAAAAGGAAATCAGTTCAGGTTTTATCTCAGTAAAGCAGGCTAAACTGAGGCTTGTAGAAGGGCAATGGCAGTGGGGGAAGCTAATAAGAGCTAACTTTTTTTTTTTAAACATTAACCACAGGCTAGTCACTACACCAAGCGTATTTAAAATACCTCAGTTAAACTTCGCAACAACCTTATAAAGAGTTAGCTCTCATTACTGACCTTTTACAAATGAACAAACCAAGGTCCAAAAGTGCCTGACCTTGTCTAAAGCACAGTTAGTAAGAGGGCCCACAAAGAATCCTGTACTCTAAGCCACTCTCCCGTAGGGCTCTGAAAGGTACCTATTTCTTATCTCAAATAGCGCAGAGCAACTTGTCAATTTTTATCACCATTGAAGGGAAATGCTTCAATTTGGATCCAACTCTACTTGACTGCAAAATCAATGGTATTAGCCACTATACTAACCAGAAGCAAAGGAGGAGGTTTGAGGTAAAGCTAACACAGCTTGGTACACCAATTAGACATGGAAAGTAAAGGAAAGGTATTGACTCCCTGAAAATTAAGCATCATTCACTGAAACACAGGATAAAGCATGAAGAGGGTTTGAAGGGAGCATGGAAGGAGACAGAAGATGATGAAGTCATTTCTGGACACACTGAACTCGAGAGATCTACAGACACTTCAGATGTCCAGAGCCCAGGATGGAATTATATCAGAATAAACAGATTCTCAGTAGTTTTTGAAAACCTGTATGTGAAATAACAAAAGGTCCTGGGACATGCATTGCTAAGGCAACATGGCATAATGGTTGGGAAGGTAAGCTCTAGAGTCAGACTGCATGTAAACCCTTTCTCCCAGTATTTAACCTACTGTGATCTTGGGCAAGTTTCTTATCTTCTCGAAGCCTCAGTGTCCTCAGTTTTAAGAGGGAGTTAACAAAAGAATCTACTCCCTAAGACGGCCAAGACGGTCCACACAGGTAAGGCATGTTTACAACACACACACCTGTGTCCAATACATGTCAGCTCTTTCTGAGGAGGAGTCCTACAGGACAGAACATCAACACTTAAGATGGGGCGGGGTGGGGGGTAGGGGGGTGGCCGACTCCAGAGGCATCTTAGAGGAAACTGCAAAGGTTTAGAAAGAAAATTCTGGAGAAGTTAAAGTTAAGGAAGATATAGGAGTCCCAAGGAGGAAAATAGCTGACAATGTCAAGTGCTACTAGGAGGTCAGGAAAGGAAAGGACCGCCAGGCTGAAGGAAACTTCGCAGTTAGTGTCTTATGGAAGACAGATTGCAGGGAAATGGCTGGGAAAAGCAGCAGTGCAGACTTTTCTTCCAATATGCCTACCTTATAGAAGGAAAGAAGACGGTAACAGGCAGCAATCAGAGGGAGAAAACTGAGGGCATGATTGTATTTTGACTTAGAGGAAAGAAATACAATCCCAATGTGTGGAGGCAAAGGAGTTGGTCAGAGGGAGAAGATGAAAATACAGAATGAGGGAGGAAATCATTAGTGGACTAAGGCATCAGATGAGACAGAAGATGACATCCCAGGACACAGGTGAGAAAGACGGATTTTGGATAGGACAAGGCACACCCTTCCACTGAGACCTGAAAGAAGGAAGTAGGGGCGCCTGGGTGGCTCAGTTGGTTAAGGGTCTGCCTTCAGCTCAGGTTATGATCCAAGTGTCCCGGAGTTGAGCCTCACATTCGGCTCCCTGCTCAGTGGAGAGTCTGCTGCTCCCTCTCTGTCCCTTTCCCCGACTTGTATGCACATTCACTGTCTCATTCAAATAAATAAAACCTTTAAAAAAAAAGAAACAAGGAAAAAAGTAAGTGAAGGCAGATGCGGCACAGGTATATTTTTAGAGGAAATGGGCCAAAGAACTGACGCATTCCACCTACGGGCCTCTATCTGCCTTATGACATTGTTATCACCATCAGAGTCCTCTCGAACATGCCAGGGACATGACAAAGATTTTGTAAATCGTTTCCTCACCAACAATTATGCTTTCTATGTGTTAGGCACGGTATTGGGTTCTAGCCCTCCAGTAGTCAACAGCATATATTACTCAATTAACCCTCACGACAATTCCATGAGAACTATTCCCAGCAACCCTATTTACCCAGGTGGAAACTGAGGCTTCGGGCAGACAAGCAGCTTGCACCAACGGTCACACTGCAGAGCGAGGGGACCAACTCACACTGTCAGACTCTGGAGTCTGAGGTCTATACCAATAACCAGGTGAGGCTGGTCGCTGAGGGTATGTGGGGAGGATCTTAGGGGACTTGAAAAGAGAAGAAAAGTTTAGACTGTATCTGCACAGAGACAAAAAGAAATCAAGATCACATAGGAGTTAGGTGCACAAACAGGATTAGACCTCCAATGTCATAATTCTCACATTCAAGTTCTCTGTCCAAGAGCCATTATCGTTTCAAGGGTGTGCAGCAACACTGAGAGAAGAAATGCTTTCATATGGTAGGGGTAAAAGTACATTTTGGGACTACATTGTCAGATGGTGCTCTTACCTTCTTGAAATGAATGAAATCACACCTAACACTCAGGCTTCAATAGGTCCAGCATGAGTACTAGATCTTCTCAAATATTTGATGTTTTATTGGATAATGATACTATTACTGCTTTGGGTTCTGACTCCTGCCTTCCTTTCAAATAGTTCAAACAGCTTCAGTATCTGTAATTTCATGGTTAAAATATCTTGAGATGAGGCTGTTTTTACGTAGAGAAACTCTCGTAAAGGTAAATTAACCAAAATCAGATTGAGAGTGTCAAAGCTAGAATAAAAACTGGTGATTCCCAGCTCAGGACTCCTGTCTTGGCCTGACACCTCCTCACAGACATTTGCCCACTCTCCAATCTTAGCCCCCCACCTCTACAATGGAACTATGTACCGTGAATACGGAGGTGCTGAGTAGACACAAAAACACAGACACAAAAACAACAGCTGTTGTTAGCAATTTTTCCCTAATAGGGAGACCACCTCTAAAGCTGACTAAAGCCGCATCATTAAAATTGAGGGGTTTAAGAACCTTGCAGAAGGGACTGAGTCATTCTTCATAAATACAGGAACGACTCAATAAATATTTGTTAAATGAGTCATTTCTGCAGTTCTTAAAAACCTGGAAGACTTCTGAGAAGAAAGGGCTGAGAACAGGCGTGTGAGTAGGTGTGTGTGAGCGAGATAATTCCCAGGCCCCCCGCCGATAACTTGGCCCTGTCACAAACCACTATGGGAGGAGAGCACCAGCAGCCAACGCGCTCCGGCTTCCTCAAACAGTGAGCAGGAGGAACAGAGCTGAAGGTGTAATCATTGCGGGGATCAAATCACAGAACAACAGTCTTCCCGGCCTTCGTGGTGTGTTTTTTAACCAGCTAATTTACATTTTAATCAACGAGAGGAGGGAAAAAAGGCCCATTTCTTTCCCACAACACCAGAAGGTAATCAAGATCATGAACTGGAGTTTTAATACACAGAGAGAGAACAGCCACATGACTGCAGCGAAACCACTGCAAACCTGTCTCGGGCAGAAAGGGACTCAGAAGTACACAGAGCTGTTTTAAAATCCCAATCCAGAGGGATACACTAGATGAGGAGAGGAGAAGGAAAGTGGATTTTTAGTGACAGTCTTCCTGTGTAAAGAGAAAGAAATACCTCTCCAGGATGTGTTAGGAACACATATGATAGAATATACCAATGCCATGATTTTTTATTTTCAGTTCCGACAAGGCCTGGGGTATTAACCTCTATAAAGAGTCACAGAAGACGCACAGCTTTCTATTCAACTTGGAAAGGATTTCAATAACTTAATAATTTACAGAACCCTGTGATGGTTTCTGAAAATTATTCCGTACTCTTCCAATGGGTTATTTACAAACAATATGCTTTAGTTTGTCAATAAAGATACATGTGTGGGAAAGAAATCAAAGAAAAAAAGGGAAAAAAAATTATGGTCTATAACTGACTCTTAGAATGTAACCTAAAGAAATGAATAGATCATTTTGATTTGGGGAGAAAAGTCACCAATAACTGAGCCCACACCTGGCAAAAATCAATGTTATACACCCAAATGATTCTGGATCATCAACCATAACTTCTTATAGTTTTTGTTTTGCTTTGAATGGAAACTGACACAGACTGTGAACAGAATCTGATGAGGGTAAAAACTTTACTCAGCTACTTCAAAGCTTGACCACAGGAAAAGCATTTTGCAGTCCTTAAACTACAAATCCCTTCCTCCTGGCATACCCAGGTACATCACTGATACGGTATGAGCACAGCTAAAGAAGAGCTAGGTTTGCATCCTCCCTTCCACTTTTCCTCCAAAAGTCTCACTGCTATTCTCGGATGCCAGCCTCCCAACTGAAAAAACTTATGACCTTGACTCCTGTCCTCTCATTCCCAGCACCCTACTTTAAAAACAGTAAAGGTTAGTTAGTCTTTGATGTTCAGAAACTGTTTAGCCTTCCCATTAATTATTAATCACCCAGACTGTGGTGCTGATCAAAATATCAACAACCCAGAAGACAGCTCTAAATTCCAGATAGAAAAAAAAAAGAAAGAAAAGAAAAGAAATTCCAGGTGAATTTGTAAGGGTAATAGATCTACAACGGACAGATAAATGACTACTTTCAATGCAAGGGTCAAACATCAAAAGGTTTCCTCCTTCAAGTACAGACCCATAGGCAACCCTTAATTCTAAAGGTCCTCTAAGACCTGCCCAGTCTCACATGCTCCAGTGTCAAGTGCAACTACATCGAGTACTTACTTGTCTTGGAAAATGTCCTGAGCAGTCACTTGATCCTTTTTCTTGATGGCTTCAGTCAGTGGGAAAACAGTCTTTATTTTAGAGAGCGGAATTTGACATTGAGCTGTCACCTCAGTGGGGGGGTCCAGCATATTCAAAATATGCTGCTGAATTGGGGGCAGAGGCTCCCGGGGATGTAAAGCTCTGTGTAGCAGACACTGTGGAAAAGGAAGAAGGGTTTTGAAACGCAGATGTAGACATCATACATGACTTCACTACAATTTTTGATCAGAGCTCCTGCATGTTTAGTTTGCGAGGGCTACAGGATTCTTACCACGTGTAACAGGGAACAAAGACGTGGCCTTGGAAGCACCCGGGTTAGCAGGACACCAGCACTGAGCCTGGCAGTGCCATCAGCTGGAGGCCTCTTAGAGAAAAGGCTCATCTTACAGAAAGAGGCTGCTGTTTCTCCCACCTAGACGATAGGCGAGTCTCCCTAAGACCTATCATTCCAGAAGTGTCTAATCCTTCTACCTCCCCTCAGCAGACTGCTTTCTCCCTTGCCTAATCTTAGACGACGAGGTGTTGTGGGGGTGAAACGGGGCTCAGGCGGAGCTGCCAAGCTCAGTGAGTCCCAGGAGGAAGTCTGCGGGAGAGACAGAATACTGGTCTGTCCCAAACCCTCCCGGAGTGCTGAGTTTGGGCTCTTCTTCAACGGTCGATCCACTTCTGTCCATGTGTTCTCCCATCACTCTTGTCTGGGGACCATCTCCTCTTGTGGGATCCACCGCGATCACCTTCTAACGGGTCTCCCTGAATCCATTTCCACCATTCTGTGAAGCCGAAGCTGTCTTAAACCAAGCCCTTCCCACACCTGAAGAAGTGACACACACCACAGCGCCTCCCTCATCTGCTTCCCTCCTCCCTCCCTCTCACACCCCAACTAGGCCAGGCTCTTCCTGCTTCACCCCCATGCCAGTGCGACCCAGCCTTTGGGGCCTGTGTTTATCACTCTCTCTGCCTCATAGGGCTTCCCTTAGATCTCCACGGAGTTGGCCCTTTTTCATCTTTCTATTCTCTGCTCAAATATCGCCTCCTCAGAGAGGCTCAACCTGACACTCTATGAAGGAGCCCCTCTACTCCCATCCTGCCGCCCAGCTATTTCCTGTCCCCGTTTTATAGTTTGTAAAGCATTTATCATTATCTAAAGTTATCTTATCCATCTTATCACTTATTATTTAACCTCCCTTCTTAAAAGCAGAGATCTTGTTTGTCTTATTAACTGCTGAATGTCAGGTACCCAAAACAGTGGGTGGCAATGATAAGCAGCCAACAGGTACTAGTGGAAGGAATAAAGGATTCTTTCCTAGGACTCTATTTGTTGACACAAGTGTCAGGAAGCGGCCCCAAGAACAAGGCTGGGATAGAGTCTAGGGCTGGTTCTGCCCTGCTCTGGTGAGTGGAGACCTGGACAAACCACTTATACTCAGTCCCTGACACTGCTTTCTGGCTGTGAATGCTAGCATCTGCCCAGAAAAGCAAATACTATCAAAGGAATACAGGAAGGTAAGCAACAGGAGCAGTACAGGAAGCAAAATGAAACTACCAATTCACTGACCTTTCCTTTCCTTTGCTCTACATTCCAAAATTCAGTTGGAGAACAAGACTCCTATTATTCCCACCTTCAAAGACTTAAACATCCGTAATTTTAAAGAAAAAACAAAACAAAACTAGAGAGTTGAAAAGTTCTTATAATTCAAAATACTGTTTAATATCCCAAGGTATATGATTCATACTGCCCCACTGTTTTCCTACCCTGTAGAAAATGTAAGCTGACATATCCATTCTAAAGAACAAAAAACTGCAGCTTAAATAGTAAATATTGTCTAAGTTGACATCCTCTAGAACTTTCATGTGCTACCCCCTCATCCCAATACGCCAAACCACACTCTTCCTTACCCAAAGTAGATTCATTTGTCTCAGAGTCTGATTCCCATTTTCCTCTTTCCTAATTACTCAACATTCCCTTGAGCAACAATAACACCAGCTCGTTTAATGTGAAGCAAAAGGAGAAACCAAAGTGATCCCAAACCCTGTGAATCTACCCCCAACCTTCTTGTGCATGATTCTTAAATCACAGTGCTCTCCCTCAGGTCATTAAATTATCTACAAAGCTTAGAAAGCCCTCAAGATGTAAGCAGTAATCCAATACCCAACATAGCAGACTGTTCTGGAAGATTCTGGGATATTCAACTGACATTTCTGGGAAAAGAACTAGGGCAAACAATGGACAAATATCCTACCCAACCTCCCCACCGAACAATATTCCAGATCTTCAGTATGAATTCCAGGCAATTCTTTCAAACGGTGTCATCACCCTACAGGATGTGTTCTTAAGCATCAACCACTCATGTTTTTTCAAAGGATATGTTTTAGATAAAACTAAGCAAGATACTTAATCAAATTCATTCACTCAAAAAACCTCAAATTCATTTAAAAATGGAAGTTATGAGAAAGTAAAACTTTTTAATAGCAGAGGAGCGAGATTACAATCTTAAATTTATTTCTCTTTTACAAACTGTTTTTACTTCATGTGATTTTTACAATTTGAAAAAGGAAAAAAATCCACAGGCCACATGGTTAGCTTATAAGCTACCAATACATTGATTTTACCAACACTGTATCAATGATTTAATAAGAGGCCGGTGTTAGGGTATACTTCCCCTAAAATATATCTTTCAGCACTTCTTTCCAAAATTAGAATTAAATTAACCTGTTGTCAACAAATTGATGGTTAACCTCTCCATCCTTCTGCCCCTTACTCCCAGCTCATTTTCTCTCAGCTATGAAATGTTTCATTTATAAAGGGAACGTTCCTGGACCCCACATCCTTGTTAGCTTCCCATGTCCCCTCTCTCTTTCCCTCCCTCAGTGGAGCCTTCTTCCCCAGCAATGGACTATGCCACTACTGGTCCCCACCCCCCTACTCCACTGGCGCCCCCACCCACCCTGCCCCTGGCCCTCAGTCAGCAAGGGCGCTCAAGGTAAGCGAAGGCCCTCAGCATGTGCTCACCCCCACTCGCCAGTGTGCAGCATCTGACTTGTCGTTCTTTCCTTCTGGACATGCTTCACTCCCTGTGCTTTCCAAGGCACCAGCTTCTCCCTAGTTCTTTCAACCTCTCTTGACTTTTTGTGGGTGGGGGTGGTGGTGGTGACAGGAACATTTCATTTTGTCTCTTTCAAAACCCTTCTTTTTCTGTCTATCCCTAATTATTCACTCATACATTGGTGTTCAGGACTCCATTCTCTTTTCTTCTCATGCAACATACTATCCCCAGGGGATCTCGTTCACTTCTATTTCTACACGAACGAAGAGGATCTCAAGTCCCTAATTCTCTCCTGGGCTCTGTATCCCTACTTCCAACTTCCCACTGGGTGCCTGTACCGGGATAGCCGACAGCTCAAATTTAACCCCTGCAAAAATACACAAACTGCTTTTTCTGTCTGTTCATTCTGTATTCCCCATTGTCACTGACAGTGAGGCCATCCTTCCACACTTCTTCATCCAAGCTAAGATCCTGTTCTCTCCAATTCCGAGTTCCTCTGCCTTCACATTTTCCCTCTCTGCTCTCCCTGTCACTATTTAATTCAGGCCTTCACAGGGCCCATTGCACCTTTTCTAATGGGTCTCTGCTCCATCTCCACGTCATGGTCAAATCCCATTTCTACAAATCTGTGACCCACCTGCTGACAAAACCCTGCCGGGACTTCCCACTGCCTACAGGGTAACACCCAGGGGACTGGCTCCTCACGATCTACCTGCCGCTTCCCTTCCCTGACACCCTTCCCACCATCGCCCCACACAGCCTATTCTGCAGCCAAGTGCAACTATCTGGGGGTCCCCAAGTCCAGCTACCTCCTCCACGTTCCCATGCTTCTGCACATGCTACTACTTCTGCCTGCCATGTCGCTGTCACATCACACATCCCCTTTCTTCCTCAGTGAAGCCTCCCTTCAGTCACCCACTTGTAAGAATCTTTTCCCCACAGTGTTTTATACCCACCACTGTTGTACCTATTGGTTTTGCATCTCCGTTCCTCTCACTCTTCTGGGGGCAGAGGGGCTCCTTTCAAGAAGTGAACTTATTCTATCTTAGCTCATGGCACAATGTTAGTCCTCAATAAATATTTGTTTTAAAAAAGAAAAGTGAGGGACGCCTGGGTGGCTCAGTTGGTTAAGCAGCTGCCTTCGGCTCAGGTCATGATCCCAGCGTTCTGGGATCGAGTCCCGCATCGGGCTCCTTGCTCAGCAGGGAGCCTGCTTCTCCC